GGATAGAGCAGGGTTTAGGGCTGTTGTGCATAGGGGTCGCTATGAGTCGGAAATGACTCGACGGCACATAACAACAACAACAACATAGTTGAATTTAGTCTTAAAAGCTAGTGTGCTGTTTTTGTAAAAAATTAGGTTTTTCTGATATTGTTGTTGTGTATTTGTGTCTCTGATTGCAAAAAAAATTTGATCAAAATGGCTTGCTGATGCTTTAGACGTTTCATTTTGTTCTTTTCTTCCAGTTTACAAAGATTTTGGTCCTGCTGCCATAATATTTTCATTTAATCTTATTTTCACTTTTTCTTTTGTTCCCTTTCATTTTTTAATATTATTGTTGTTAGGTGATGTTGAGTTGACTATACTCATAGTGGCCCTTTGAACAATAGATTAAAGCCCTGACCTAACCTATGCAACTCGTCTTTTTATTTCCTTATTGCTGCTACTGTACCTATCTGAGTATATTTTGGCAAATCTCTACTCCCCAGTTTTTCATATTGCTAAAAGTGAGAAGAAAATGTCCAGGAGTGAATATCTGTGATAAAACACCCCATGGAAAGGAATTCCGTGTCCTTTGGATCTCCCAGTATCTTTATTTGTTTCTATAATCTTTTCCTCGTAAATGCATGCATGCATAGCACAAAGTTTTTTACACAGAATTTCAGCACACAAGTATATTTGTAGTAGCTAAGTACTTTCTTCCACAGACAAAAGTTACTGCTTCAATTTTTTTCATTTATTTTGTCCACTTAGTTTGCATATCTTTTGAATATCCTACTCAGAAATCATATGTATAATTCTTTGCACATATTATTGTTGTTATTATTATGTGCTATCGAGTCACATCGTTGCTTTTCAGTACTTTGGAGAGGTTCTTGACAGCAGATTTTCTAAGTGCAATTAGTCTTTTTATTTCCTGACTGCTGATGCCAAGAGTGTTTATTGTGGAGCCAAGCAAGCTGTAATTGTTAACATCCTCAATCTCCTCTCCATCTATGATGGTGCTGACAATTGGACCAGTAGTGAGAATCTTTGTCTTCTTGACATTGAACTTCAATCTATATTGACGACTACAATCCTTGATCTTCTGCAGCAAGTGCTTCAAGTCCTCCTCAGTTTCAGCAAGAAAGGTTCTGTCATCTGCATAATATATGTTATTGATGAGTCTTCCTCAAGTCCTGATGCCATTCTTGTAAAAAAGATAGTTTATCTGCTGAGCTCAAACTGAAAACATAAGTTAGAGCTGGGAAATTTCTAATATCTCTTGCATAAAAAGGAACTATAAGTAAAAGAAACAAAAACAAACCTAAAAAAAATCCACCCCCAAAACACAACAAAACTTGCAACATATATTCAGCCCTTATATTCATCATGTTAAATATAATCAATTCCTGTAAATGTACAAACAACCCATGAAGATAACATTGAATTGTAAATATATGTGTGGAGGAAGAGAGGTTTTTTTCTTAATAGTGGGTTCAATGCCTTGCTGCTAGTGTGGTCTATTTTGCTTCTGGGTTTTTATTATTTATGACCCTTAAACACAGATAAGTGTTCCCAATTCAAAATTAATTCTAAATTCTAGACCAGTATGATGGTTCTTAAATGGGAAACCAAAAGCATGGAAAACAAAGTTATAAGATAAGAAAAGAAAGTAACTTACCATATTTATTGATGATACTGGCCCAATGCTGTTAACATAAATGTCAACATCAATTACTGTTGGCTTTACTGTGAAGAAAAACACATGTGTGTTAGTGCTTAGTGCTAGAGGTGGAGGAAATAGTATTGAACTTCTTAATGACTCAAATATTAATACAAGAAATAATTGAAAAATATGAATTTTTCTTGTTTCTATGATGACATACAAACTGTGCCTCCCTTATCTTTTAAAATTCTTCTACAAAATCTATAAAAGTGATAAATATTTTGTAACAGTTAAGCTAAACATATGGCTAAGCTGAAAGATAAACAAAAGACAAGAAATACGTCATTTAATGCCAAAGTTTCATTATAAAATAAAATGTGGAATTATGAGAAGACAATCGCGTGAATAGATTATAGTTTTAACATCAAGAACCAACCAAACAGCAACAATGTTCATGTTTGAGTCTATTCTAGTTCATACAGATGCTATAGGAAAGAGTAGAATTACCCTACAGAGTTATTGAGGACTTTTTAACATAGAAAACATTTGCATTTTTTTCCCATTGTGGAAATTTTTCTCTCCCCTCTCCTTTGCAATGCACCTATTGTTCAGATTGTTCTCATACATATATTATCTAATCATATATTTCTTTCAGATAGTTTTCTCCCCTCATCTGATCTAATGCAGTGCTCATTTTCTATTCAGTCTGTTCCCATTCTCTCCTCAATTCTTCCTCATGTTTGTCCCATTTTATAACAGCAGTGCTATGCAGTACTTGTCCTTTTGTGACTGATATATTTCACTCAGCATGTGGGAGCCAACCTCCCACATGTTATGTAATGTTTTACAAGTTCATTGTTTTTCAGTGCTGTATAGTATTCCATTGTGTGAATATACCATAGTTTTTCTATTCATTTTTCTTTTGAAGGATACTTGTGTTATTTCCATCTCTTTGCTAATATGAATAATGCAGTAACAAATATGCATGTGCATAGCTCTGTTTAAATTCTGGCTCCATTTTTTTAGAGTGTATTCCCAGTAGTAAAAATTGTTGGGTCAAATGATATTTCTACCTACAAACAGGAAAAGACAAAGTAGATGAATGGGATCCTCTAAGAATCAAATCCCTATGCACATCCAAAAACGTCTCCAACAGGCTAAAAAGGGAAGCCACAGACTGGGCAAAAGTATTTGGTAATAACATATCAGATAAGGGACTTATGTCAAGAATTTATAAAATACTTGAGCACCACAACAAGATAAAGGTAAATAATTCAATAGAAAAATGGGCAAAGGATTTGAACAGGCACTTCACCAAAGACGACATTCAGATGGCTAACAAGCACATGAAGAAATGTTCAAAATCCCTAGCTCTACGGGAGATGCAAATCAAGACAACTAACTATAAGATATCATCTCACCCCAGTAAGATTAGAAAAATTTAACAGAACAGCAAACAACAAATGCTGGCGAGGTTGTGGAGAAACTGGAACCCTTATTCACTGTTGGTGGGAGCATAAAATGGTGCAACCACTATTGAAGGCGGTTTGGGACTATCTCAAAAAGTTGCAAATAGAGATACCATTTGAACCAACAATTCCACTACTGGGAATATAACCCAAAGAGACCATAACCAACATCCAAGCAGATATATGCACACCCATGTTTATTGCAGCTTTGTTCACAATAGCAAGGAGTTGGAAACAACCTAAGTGCCCATCACAAAACGAATGGATAGAGAAGCCGTGGTATATTCACACAATGGAAAACTGTGCTGCAGTGAAAAACAAGGAACTCATGCAATATTATTCAAAATGGTTGACTCTGGAGAACATTATGCTAAGTGAAATATCCCAGTCACAAAAGGACAAGTACTGCATGGTGCCACTGTTGTAAAAGAGGACTGACCTTGGGGTTGGGAAGAGACTGAGAAAGATGGGTTCAATAATGTATACTGCACTGAGACAGATAAGGGAGAAAACTGTTTAACAGAGATATGTGATTAGGTTTCTGTCATGACAGGAGTCTATAGAGATGGCTACATGGTGGAGTGGACTTGGGGGAGTGTTTGAAAAACAATGAAAGAATGTTTCTTTTACTGTTCCAAGAGAGTAGTGTTCTGGGGGCGGGGGGAGGATTGGGAGGGGAGAAAAGTGCAACAATGAATGAATGGAAATCCAAAGCCTCTGTGAATTTTTACTGAAAATAATAATAAATGCTGCATTGAAAAACAAGGAACTCATGCAATATTATTCAAAATGGGTGACCCTGGAGGACATTATGCTGATAATGAGGTATCTCAGTCACAAAGGGACAAATGCTATATGGTGCCACTATTGTAGAATGAGGCTGACATCGGGATGGGGGTAAGACTGTGAAAAACTGGATGAAATATGTTCACAGCATTGAAGTCTTTGGGGGAGAGAATATTTTCTATTTTAGGGCAAAATGTTTATCGTAAGAATACGGAATGAGGGTTGCAGAGTGGATTATATTTGGGGGTTGGGGGATGTGTTTAGGGGATTGCGTACCAATGAGGGAGTTTTTCTTTTGCATTTGAAGGAGAGGAGCAAACGGGGGGGGCGGAGTGAGGAGTGCAACAATGAATGAATGGAATTCCAAAATCTCTGTAGATGTTCACTGAAATGAAAAATAAAGAAAAATTTTTTTTAATAGATAATAGACTCTGAGTGGAAAATAGCTTTAGACAGACATCCATTGACACTCTCAACATTTCTGGGCACAGTGTCCATATTAGAAAAACTACATAGCAGTTATCCTGGAAAAAAATATTTAATCTGTTGAGGGCTTTGATTTGGATAGATTGAATACTGTAACTACATAACCTGCACAGAAGAGAGATACATGTGTAAATGAAGATAAGGGATTCTCTGTCATTATGGGTATGCTAGCCAAGATCAAGGTCAGAAAAGTGTATGGTTTAGTTTTTAGAGTTATATTTGTTAGCACTGACACATTTATCCAGAAACCAGAATTGTAATGTAATTTATTTGTGATCATGAATTGTGACATAATTCTAGAGGAAGAATTTCAAGATATTTTCTTCCCCTGATTCTTCAGCTGTTGCCACTGTAGCTATTCTTATTATCTTGTTTCTATTGAATAAATAGCAGTAATGTCATGTCTCTAA